TAAGGACTGAAGAAACTGCGAAAGATGAAGATGTCACCGATGAAGAGAGGAAGACGCCGAAGATCTTGGAGCGTCTAAAAACTTGGAACGCCGACAGAAAAGCGAGTCCTACTTTTAAACAGGCAATATCCGCCTTCAAGGACTACGAACTGAAAGAACAAAAAGGTTTGTTTGGCACCACGGCCTTTAAAGTCTGGGCCAAAAAAGTGAAAGCACTCGATCAAGAGAACGCAGGGTCAACCATGCTCACGATTCTTCTGCGGCGTTATGATGACATCACGTTGGCGAGACTAATTGGATCGTCCAAGTTCTCGGAATGGTTGAAAAGCATTGCTACAGACTTGCGGGGAGCGCTGTTTGCCAAGTGGAAGCAGGCGGGAATGAAGCCGAATACCATCGAAGCCCAACTACTGAAGAAGCCAAATACTCAATTGTGGGGCGAAAATGACAAGGAGCTGGTGAAGGCGTACACAGCCTTCTTTAATCTATAGCAACATCAGACACGCACCATTCATCGCGTCGTAAATGGTGCTCGACAAATACAAATGTTCTCTGACTCGTATACATTCCGAAGCAATTTATTTAGCGTTATTTGCTGTCCAAATCTTGCTTGACCATATCTAGTCGCTATTCTGCGGAGAGTCCTGACCACACTTAAGGTCCGAGTTGCAGTCGCGTGGGTACAGCGTCGCGGTCTTCTCGATCTGGATCGTCGTGTGCGTGATGCCCTTGGACATGAGGTAGCGCTGAGCTGCGTGCAGAGCCGTCTCTGCGTCGTCCGAAACCAAGTGAACGCTCAACGACGGCAGACCGGCGCTTAGCGACCAGATGTGCAGGTCGTGCACGGCCACCACAGACGAGCAGCGACGCAGACCTTGTTCGATCTCGTCGGCGTGGATGCCATCTGGTGTGCCTTCCATGAGCACATGGATACTGTCACGGACAATTCCGATGGTCGTGCCCAGTACCAGGACCGAGAAAATGAACGTAGCGATGGGGTCAGCAATCTGCCACTCGGGTTTGTACCAGATGAGGCCACCGGCGATACACACGCCAACACTCTGGATGAAGTCGCCAAGCGCGTGAATGTAAGCGGCCTGAATGTTCAGGTTCTCCAGCTTCTTTTTGGACTGGGAAGCTTCGCCCACACCATTCTCGAGGTCTCCATGTCCACCGTGGGAGTGGCCGTGGGAGTGACCATGGCCGTGCGAGTGGCCATGTCCCTCCTCTTCGCTACTGCTGGAGCTGTCTCCATGCGCATGACCGTGGCTGCCTCCATGCGAATGGCCGTGGCCACCGCCTCCTCCGTGGCTGTGTCCGTGACCCAGGATCTGCATTAAAATCAGGTTCACGAACAGCCCAATGCAGGCCACGATGAACATGAGTTTGCCGTTCACGTGTTCCTTCGGATTAGGCTCTAGACACTCCATCAAGCGCTCCACAGCGGCGTAGACCAACACTCCTGTGAGCACCCAGATGACCAACACACTCGTGACAGCACCGATAACTTCGGCGCGTTGGAAGCCGAAGCTCAAGCGGTTCGAGGCCGGCAGTGTGCTGACCCAGATGGCAAACAGCGAGATACAGAAGCCTGCCACGTCCGACAGCAAGTGCGCGGCGTCCGTCATGATGGCCAGACTGCCGGCCAGGAAGCCGCCCACGACCTCGGCGCACATGAAGAGCAGCGAGCAGACGCAGGCGAGCTGCAGCTTTCTTTGCGCGCGCTTGGCTCCGTCGGTCAACGGAATACGACGCGAGGCCTTACGCTCCATTGGGGGGCGCGCGCCCTTCAGTGGCATCGTCTCGTCCATGCTGTTGTAGTTGTTGCGCGCCATATCCTACGGTCACGGGCAGAGGGCGAAATCCTTTGTGAGGAGGCGCCAGCAGATCAAGTTTCTGTGATGGCCATTCAGTCCTACCCCTTCATTGCATCGAACTCATCCAGTTTAAAGATCGGATGAGAGTTACAGAACAGGGTATGGTTACGGCTTACAAATACAGAGATTAAAAAGAACGATTTACCTGAATTTGATTTAGGAAGGTTCAGGGACACCTTGATTTGCAACAAAATGTTCCCGAACCTGCATGTATGCATGAGCATCCCATTTAACAGGAAACCTTTGAAATTGCATGGATTATGATTTATTTTGTGGAAACGGAAGGTGACATCATGGTTTTAGTAAGAGGAACAGAATTGACCTGCCACTTTGTATACTCATCGCTGTTTTCTACGATAGCCATTCGAGACGGAGGACACCTTTGCCTGGGCATGTTGCCTCCGTCCAATAGCTGCGTCCTCAGCATTGTCCATGTAGCAGCAAGACAGTTCTCGTTGGTGACGAGCTTGCCACCAGTCGATGGCATCGAGGCGATACGCACCAGACACGGTCGCGTGGTGATGCA